TATATATATATGTATTATCTTATTTTACACTTTGTACATTATTTTATTCAAATAAAATCTATATACATTATGTATATGACCATAAAACTGCCATAAGTCATATGTCAAATTGAGTTGCGAAAAATAATCCACTATTGAATGTTAATAGAATTTGAAACTTAAAAGAATAATTATTTTATTTTGGTACTACTTATGAGACACTAAAATCTAAAATCTCGTTTTTGAATTAATTGTTTGAAAAGAAAATTAAATTAATATACTCTTCCTATTACAAAATTTGATAGCCAACATGTCAAATATTTTAGTAAGAAAATCATTAAATATAACTTAATAAAATTATAATACCAAGTATTTGGAAACCGACCTTTATGAAGTAAGTCTTTCCCACAACTTGGAGAGAATTATTTATTTAAAGGTGATATATTCTAAAATAAAAATAAAATAAAAGATATATTTACCATAATATTAGATTAAGAACGAATATATCGATTATTTATTAATAAAATTAATTATAACTTAATAAAATCAAATATCTTCAATTTTCAAAAACAAACTTTATATGTGCTATATCCAAATCTCACAATATCGGCCGGGAGAGATTAATTTATTTGTACAAAATATATTTCTAAAATATTCTTTTATTTAACAAGTAACTATATTTAAATTGATTATTGTTCATGTACGTCTTATTACATGCGGATTTTTTGGCATATAAACGTTTATCATATAAATATTTTAAATTATATTATGATATTCACTTTTTGTATAAAATAAAAAATATTTTAACCATACTATTCTTACTATTAATTGACAAATATCTTTTGAAATTAAGAGAGATTTATGATTTGCTTTCATCCATGAAATGTACCATCTAACACGCAATTAAAAAAAAAAAATAAAAAAAAAAAAATTGATAAAATCTCCGAAATCTCCGAAATATCCGATCCGTACCGAACCGACCCATTGGAACCGAATCTCCCGACCGAACCAAACCGAATTTCGGTTCGGTTCGGTCCGGAGATTTGTTAGGACCGGTTCGGTTCCGGAGATCCAGTTTTTCAAATCTCCGAAGTTCGGTTCGGTTCCGGATATTTCTGGATCTCCGAACCGAACCGACCCGTGCTCAGCCCTACTTAGCTTGACATGATTGCCTATCATCATTTGGGCTTTAGTTAAGATGGCTAAGTGTGTCACTCTAACCTTGTGCATTTGATTATCATGAGACATACTCATGTTGCGAAGCAATGCTGTCATTTAACCCAATTTGCTTAGATCTTATTTTTTATGTTGCGAACCAATGCTGTCATCACATTGGAATGACTAAGATCGACGGAGTCATCACTTTAGTCATCTGTTTGTAGGGAAATGTGACGGTCCCATATTGGAATCATTCCGTCGGGGTTTATAACCATTAGATCATCATAACCGTCGGGGATATTTGATCTAATGGTTACAAACTTCGACGGAATGGTTCTGTAACGGGACCGTAACATCTCCCCTCTTTGTATATTATATGTTGGTAACATAGGTTTATTACTATATGTAAGACAGACCGTTAAACAAACAACGTTGGTTATTTGCAATTGCAGCCCATTATGTTAAGCGGATAATCAATTCGGCCGGCTTAAGGACATAACTAATCAAGTATTATAAAATGATTCCATTAAAGAAATGGAAGATGTAGCATTCCAAAAATGTTTGAATAGGAAGTTATTTATTACCCAATTAATTCAAAATTTGAATCAATAACTACTATATCTCATATTTTCATTCTCTCTCCTCTGTCCTCTCTCTTCCTTCTATTTCTTCTCTTTCAACGTATTTTCTCTCTGGTCCTCTTCTTCTTCTTCTTGTTCTTCTTCTCCTTTTTCTTCTTTTTCAAACACGAATGTCTAAAAAAATCACATAAAAAAGAGATTAATCGATTGATTATATATCTACCTAACAAATAAAATGATGAAAAAGCAACACAAATATATACTACCAGACCAACAAAACAAACAATACAACAATACAACAATATAACTTTTTTCAAGCAACACAAAAACAACTCCATGTAAACATTCAAGTATCTTTCCAGCAACAGAAAAACAACTCTATGTAAACATTAAAATGTCAATAGTCCGCGCTTCTCGATTCATTCAATAATATCTCGCAAATAATACTTCATGAGTTATTTTTTTTTTCAATGTTCGTGTTCATGTTGACTATTTAAAAAAAAAATATAATATGGTTATAATCCTTTAGATCCGCTTAAATTAAAAAGAAGTGATATTATCTCCTTTAATATCTTAATATATCCTCAATCATTAATGATGAATTTTCACATTGTTTTACATACGTTATAAATCAACAATCACTAAAAAAAATAAAAAATAAAAATTTTACAAACATACAATGTTCTTGGTGAGTTTTGTTTCCAATTTTTCTTTCTATAGTGTTGTGCCGTGAGCACAAAACACAACAAACCTTTTCTCTTCTTTGGGGAAGAAGATACACATACTGTGGAGAAAAATACAACTAACAAAAACTCCTTAAATGTGAAAAAAATTATAGGGCAAAATTTTACACAAACACAACTAAATAAAAAAAAAGTTATATATTGCCAATTTCCTCAAAATGACCAAACTAATTGAAGGAAATAAAGCACACCCTATTTAAAAAGAAAAACAAAAGTAGAAAAAAATTGATCATCAAATTACCATCAGGGGGATCTTGGGAGGTCGGTTCGGGCCGGCAATCTGCTTGAGGGCATCGAATACCGCGACGGGCTGCGGTCCGCCAGGGCTAGGGATTCGAGGGACGAGTTGGGGGCACAGAGGGATTTGAGGGCTTCACGAAAAACGCACTTTCTGACGAAGTCAGAGGCGCCGAAGATGATGATGTCGTAGGGTTTGGAGGTGGGAATGTGTTGTTTCGGGAGAATGAAAGAAGTGAGAAAAAAAAAAAGAGAAGAAGAAGAAAAACGTATCAGGAGAGAAGAAAGATATAGAAAAACTAGGAAAGAGAATTAAGAAAAAGAGAAAAAGGTGGGAACAGTTAAGGTGAGAACAGTTATAAAAAAGTTAAAGAAGTCTTTTAAAAATTCATTTTAGTGATAAAATGATGTAGAATTAGAAACATGAAAATCCTGTATTAAAATAAGAATATATTTTTTTAAAAAGGTGGAGAGTGTCTTTAATTCCCGAATAACTCTACTGGCAAATTGCAGTCCATTATGCTAAGCTGATAGGCCAAATAACTCTACTATTGTATTTGTGTTGGGCTCTGAATTTATACTTATATAATAAGGTATCTTATTTACCAAATTTAGTAGGTTGAAAAGTCAACGTAATTAATGCATTGCTATCTCTATCCAGAATTTTATTTAATTATTTTATTTATTTGTCTTATATCTCATAAAATCTGTTTAAGAAAAAAAAATCTCATAACATCAGATAAGTAAAAATGTACGTAAAATCTTTACTAAAATAAAAAAGACTTTATTTATTTGTCTTATTCCATAATAACATCGATTTAGTCAAAACAAATCCCATAAAATCAATGAAGTAATAAATTGTACGTAAAGTCTATCTATACTAAAAAAATGGCAGATTCAAAATTCCTTATCTAATTCCTTATCAAATTTCTGTTTCAAGCATTTTAATTAATATTTATTTTAATGAAATATTGGATAGTATTGCTGGATCTGAGTCAATTTTGAAATTGCGTTGTTTGGCATGAGAGGATTATCAGCATTCTATAATGGTCTAAAGCATATTATTTAATATTATTTAATTAATTTATTAAATATTTAATTATTTTATCCATGACATCAGTTTTGTCAAAAAATTTGAACAAACAAACAAAAAAAAGGCACGGGATTAATTACCTTCGACTTACAAAAAATTTATGGGTGGACGTAAATATTTAACAATGCTGTTTCAAGTTCCTTAAATAATACTATAACTATACCGTTGAAATATAATCTGTTTAAAGGGTGACGTAAATATGCTGTTTAAAGTTCCATAAAACAATTTTTTAAAAAATAGTTTGTTTAAAGTTCTTTAAATAATAATATATCTTAAAGTATACCCATGTTGTAATATATTAAAGTCAAAACAATGTTGGAAGACTTTTGAATTATCTAATTTCGAATTATCTAAATTAAGTAATTTAAATGTTTAATCCCATTAAATCTTCAATCCATGGAGTATTTTTACTAATCCCGTGAGCATGTTGTTTTGTTATTGTAATCAGTTTACACACTATTTTACTAATAAATTATTTAATATCTATGTACAAGGAGGTCTTTAATAATATATGATTGTGTCTTTGAAATACTATTTTGTTGTATAATTTTCCTGCGTATTATAAAACTTTTATTGAATATTGCATCTTATAATATAATATTACCCAAAGAAATATATTTCGTGTCTCGCACAAGTCCCGTACTATATGTATTCGTACATTTTCTTTATTTATTTATATAATTGTAAGGCTGGATAAATAACCTTAAAATTGTGCACCCCGTGCATCGCACGGGCTTTGTACTAGTATATAAGTAAATCTAATGTGTGTTAGGAATGTGATAGATCTTGATATTTTAGGTACAAATATATGATATATATATATATGTACAGATATATGATATGAATATCTTGAGATACAAAATGAATTTTTATGTGATTTATTATCTTAATAAATCATCCGCAATTACTTAAATTATATCTTTAAAATATACCATAAAGTATTTAAATAGTTTCTAAAATTAGTAAACAATACACTATTTAAAAATATTTCAAACCTTTATGTATAGATATAGATCATATATTCTTGTGTGTCCAGTGCTCACTGCTCAATAACCACAAAAAAGCTATAAAAAATAGAAGTCTGAGACATACACATATCCTCTCTAGGAAATAATGGCCGCGTTTTCTCTCTATACATTCTCTATGGTTTCTTCCCCTGCGATACCCTGCTATTCGTCATATTCTCGGACTACCTGGGAATCTCGGAGCAGAGCGGTTACCATCAAGCTCAGATGTTTGGCATCAACTTCAGCTTCCTTGCCTTCGGCTTCAAATCCAAAAGTGGTGGTCACTAGAGAGCGCGGCAAAAACACCAAACTCATCGATGCTTTGGTAACTTTATATGTACTAAATTATTTCTTGGTTTAACGCTTGATTACAATGCCTGTCGTATGATATTTTGTTTTTCTCTTTTTGTTAGTTTTGGCGTGTTGTAGTTATTGACAGGATTGTAGCCCACTAGTCTATGCGGCGAGAAAAATATGCTTATATTCTGCATTACTCTTTAGTGGGTGCAAAATATTGAAAAATCAGAAAAAATGGCATTTTTTGACAGCAAATTTTACTGCGAGGCAGAGCTTGTATTACCACTAGATGAGAATGTCATGCGTGTAAGGCATGTTTCGAAAACTTGACCATGTTCTTGAATTTTGATGCAGCATCCTTCCTTATTTCTAGGTACTGAGCCTGGAGTTCTTAATGGGAGTGGGCATCATTAATTTTTTTCATACACTAGATTAACAACTTTCATGCATTTATAGTAAGAGCAAAAATCATTTTTTGGATAAGGCATATAAGCCCGTTTTCTTTAGGTTTTGCATCTGAGTCCACTTGTCCTAATTTGAAACAGAAATCATCTATTCGAATCAGGAACCACCAAAAACGCATGACAGAAAAAAAAGAGTAACCTTCGAATTAGATGCGATATAATTTTTCAGTATATAAATTAATATGTAATGAAGTTTCTTACAACAACAACAACAACATAGCCTTTTTGTCCCAACCAAGTTGGGGTAATGAAGTTTCTTACGCCTTCATCTTTTAGCAAGTTTTGCTATGATAGTCGCTCTTATGATGCATCATCTGAGTGACGTAACTATTGAGAATGTTCTTTGATATGTTGAAGCTTGAAGTTGAAGTTTGCAACAGTGGAGCAACTTTATTTCATTTTGTATTTCTGATATGTTAGTTGACGTTTTTTTATTTTGCAGCTCAAAGTCGCGCTTAGTTTTTTTTTTTTCTATGCATTTTTACTGTTCTAGTTCATAGTTTATTGGTGTCGTTTGATTTAGTTGATACAACGCCATTTTGGTCTCGAGCACGCCTGCATGCAAAATGTGTCTATAATCCACATTTGTATGTATTTTGAGTTTGATTTTTTAGCTAAGAAACAGAGCAGAAATTCATCTATTTTCCTTCCTAAGTTCATCTATTTTCCTTCCCAAATTCATCTTCTATTCAACATGGTATCTAGAAGTGATCCTGGAAGGTTGATCGCATAGCTTGAATTGAAATCAAAGGAGCTACGATATTGCGATTCAAAGCTTTAATGGAGAATCGAAGGACAAATCCATGGCCGCTTCTAACTACGAACACAAATGCAAAAAACGAGCTTGAAGATGACGGATTCAGTCTAATGATGCTGTATGATGCTTGTTTCAAATCAGTTACCATGAAACAGTTTTTTGTCATGGAAGCGGTCGATGATCATAGTTTTGGGTGCAAACACAAAACTCGGTTTTATCAGCGGTGAAGTATTACAACCTGATGTTGATGATGAGAAATATGCCGTGTGGAGGAAAATAGATTGGATGGTGTTATCGTGGATCTTAAATTCTCTTTCTAAAGAAATTCCAAAGTCCTTTATCTATGAAAATTCTAAGGATTTATAGAAAGATATATGTAAAAGGTATGGAGAGAATAATCGACCTATGAAGTATAAACAACAAAGAGATATTTCGAACTTAACTAGGGAAACAATCATGGAGTATTTCAAAAAACTCAATGAATGAGTATGCTTGTAGTTGTATTATATAGAACCAAAACAAGTACGTTGTTGTGAAAAAGGGAAAATGGCTGCAAAATATGAATCAAAGAACAAATTGACTCAGTTTGTAATGGGATTGAATGATAGATATGAAAATCTAAAGAATCAAAACATGCTTTTGGAGCCTTTTTTGCTGTGAATAAAATAAGGCTTGTTCAAGTGTATTAACTGCTGAAAGACAAATGGCAGTTCAAAATGCCTATAGTGATAAAATGGATAATGCTGCTATGTTAGGAAGGGAGGAAGATTTAGGAAAAGGGTATAACAATCAGGGAACATGAGACAATGGAGAAAAAAGATCTAACTATGAGGGCATTGAACTATGGGAAGAGGTAGTGGAGGAAACAGACTAAGCAAAGCTAGACTTTTTTGTGAGAGTATGAATGGACACACTATTGCAACCAGTTTTAAGGTGCATGGGTTCCAGAATGGTACAAGGAATTGAAGCATCAACAAGGAAGATCATACATCAATAATGCTGAGGTGTGCAACCAAGAAGATCAAACAAGACAAAAGGGAAGCTTCAAAGATTCTAAAAGGGAAGTTTCAAGGATTCTAAGGAACTTGATTTGTCCTCAGCAATTCAGCAATTGCAGGAGCTTACTCAATATGTGAAAATGAAGGAAGAGGAAAAACTAAAATGGACTATGCACAATTGTGAGTTTTGCAGTGAGGATGAAACACAAAACATACATTATGCTTTGTCAGCTGTAAGAGGTGTGTGGTGATAGATGGATGATTCACACTGGTGCAAGTAGACACATGCAAAAATGAAAAGATAATTTAAAATATGTAGAGGTTAGATGGCAATAGTGGTATGTTTACCTTATGGTATATTGAAAGATGTAGCAAGTAAGGGTGATGTGATGATCAATAAGAAGATCTTCTTATAGTTCCTGATGGGTTGTTTGTGCCACCATTTGAGTATAATTTGCTGTCAGTGATGCAAATGTGTGCAAATGAAAGGGTCAATTGGACTTTCACTTGATTAAGTTGTTGGATTAAGTTGTTGTTTACTGGACCTAGAGAATGATGGGAGACTTGGATATGGAGAGCTGATTGAAAATTGGAAATCCTTACATTTGGAAAGGAACGAATAGAAGAAAGGATTGGTTGTAATCTGTCCCTGGAAGGGTGGCATAAGAGTTTATGGCTTGCTTCTTTTATAGCTTTGAACATTTGGATTTTCTTATAAGAGATTGTAACGAAATAAATGAGAGGCTGTTGCACTCTTGTGATGTTTGTTTCATAGCAAAACAACATAGATTGCCTTTTCTTAGTAGTATCAGGCTAAACTTTGTTTTGAACTGGTTCATGTGGATTTATGGGGGCCTTGTAAAGAAGATTCTCTAACCAACGCATTTTAGTTTCTTGCTTAGGTTGATGACTATAGCAGAGATACTTTGGTTTTTCTCTTAAAGGATAAGACACAAACATGAGCAATGTTACAGTCTTTCATCTCAATGGTAGAAACTCAATATGATTGCAAGGTTAAGAGACAGACAATGGAAGGGAGTTCTTTGAGAAAGGAGAATATTGCATGAATCTACATGTATTCACACACCACACCGAAATGGTGTAATTGAAAGATAATTGAAAGAAAATATAAACATGGTTTGGAGGTGGCAACACTGATGTTCCAAGAGAATTTGCCTATTAAGTTTTGGCTTTTTGCTGTTTTTACAACAACCTTATCATAAATAGGATTCAAAGTGCAATTTTTTAGTGTAAAACACATTTTGAAAGAATTAGTGGCGAGGTTCCAAATTATTGGAGACTTAAACTCTTTTTTGTCTAGCTTATGCAACAAGGGTGACACCAAGCAAGTCAAAATTTGTCCAAAGGGAGTTAGATGTGTTTTTCTAGGACTTGCAGTAGGAAAGAAGGGATATCAGTTGTATGATCTTTAATCAGACTCTTATTATTGCTAATGATGTTTTCTTCTTAGAGAATGAGTTTCCATTTGATGGTTCAACTCAAAACAACACGACAACTTTACGTACAAGACGAAGAGCTCTCAGAGGGTGAGGTTGACATGGTACCTCACACACTCAATGGGGAAAGATTGAGAAGGACTAGGAGAAAGAGGCAGGTGCCAATATGGCATGAAGACTATGTTTGTAATAATGTGTCATTGAAGATATCACATCAGGGACCGTTATGGCTAACATTTCTATGGAAAAGGAGCCTACTCATTGGCTAACATTTCTATGGAAAAGGAGCCTACTCATTAATTTCAGGCTAGTAAGCATCCAACATGGTTGAAGCAATGAAACAAGATTAGAAGCCCTCGAGAGTAATCAGACACGGATAATCACAGATTTACCACAAGGAAAAAAGGTAATTGACTTAAAATGGGTGTATAAAATAAAAATAAACCTAATGACTAGGTTGAAAAATATAAAGCAAGGTTGGTGGCAAAAGGATATAATCAAGTTGAATGGGTAAATTACTCTGATATATTCACACCTGTGGCCAAACTTGTCATAATGAGAATGTTCATTGCAGTTGCAGTGCAAAGAAGATGGAACTTATATCAACTTGATGTGAATAATGCTTTCTAGCATGGGTATCTGGCTAAGGAAATGTATATGTCACCATCGCATTGATATGAAAAGGCACAACAATGACAAGTATAAGTATGTAAGTTAGTGAGGAGTTTATATGGAACTTCAACAGAATGGAACAATTACTTGTGTTAGAGACTGGCCTCCTTTGGGCCTCCCTTGGGCTGATGCAATCTTCATATGATAATTGTCTCTTCACTATAAAAAAGGATCTGATTTTATGGTCATCTTGGTATATGTTGATGATGCCTTGTTGACTGGTCTGGTGAGCTGTTAATCACAAGTTTTGAGGAATTTCTTGATGATGCTTTCACAATAAAGACTTAGGAGTAGCGAAAATTTTCCTTGGAGTTGAGTTGATGAGGCATGATGATGGGATATTCATTGGCCAAACGAAATACATTCTAACTTTATTAGGTGATATGGGGTTACTTGAGGGTAAACAAGCAGTTACTCCTTTGGCACAAAGTTGCAAGCAAGGCGATCCATTAGAACAACTAGATTTTAGGCTATTGGAACTCTTTTACTCCCAAGTTAACTTGCCCTCGTCGAGACTGCCTTTAGACTTGACTTTGTTAGTACCAGTTTATTGCCATATCTTGTAGAGAAGTCTGCAATTTGAAGGGTCAAAGGTATAGAAGGCTTTTGGGAATACTTGTATACCTAAACATGTCTAGACCCGATGTGACATATGCAGTCCAATAGTTAAGTCAGTTTGTCAATTAACCTTGTAGTTCACATTGAGATGCTGCTATTCATGTTCTTAGATACTTAGAAGGAAGTTCATCGTTTTCCCTAAAGGCAGACACTGAAAGCTTGTTGCATATAGTGATGCAGATTGAGCAACATGCTTTCATACTCTATGGCTATTGTATCTTCTTGGGGAGATTGTTTCATTTCTTGGAAAACTAAGAAGCAGCATACAATTTCAAGGTCCTCAGCTGAAGCTTTCAGCTGAGTATAAAGCAATGAGTGGAGCCACTGTTTCAGAGTTATTATGGATTTCTTCTATTGCACAGGATTTTCATCTCTCTTTGACGTATCCTATAGCATAACATTATGGTGTGACAACAAGGCCATTCTTCAGATTAGTGGCAATCCGGTTTTTCATGAAAGAAAAAAAATATTTGGTGATTGATTGTCACTTTGTGAGAGATTAATATAAGCAATCCGGTTTTTCATGAAAGAAAAAAAATATTTGGTGATTGATTGTCACTTTGTGAGAGATTAATATAAGGCATGCTTCGCCAAACCATTGTTTGTCTCTTCTTGGTTTGCCTCTTCTCGTATGCAACTGGCAGACATATTTACAAAGGTTCTAATGGGGATGCAGTTCAAGTCCTTAATTTGCAAGTTGGGAATGGTCTTTCCTCTTCCATGCCTAATTTGAGAGGAGAAGGGGAGGTGGTGGTGGTGGTGGTGGTGGTGGTGAAGCTTGAAGTAGAAGTTTGCAGCAGGCAGTGGAGGAGCAGCTTTGTTTCCTTTTGTATTTCTGTTATATTAGCTGGCTTTGTTTTTTATTTTGCAGCTCAAAGTCGTGCATAGTTTATTTATTTATTTATTTATTATTATTATTATTATTATTATTATTATTATTATTTTTTTGCCTTTTTCCTTTTCTAGTGCATAGTTAAACGGGGTCGTTTGAATTAGTTGATACGGCGCCGTTTTGGTCTCGAACATGTCTGCATGCAAAATGTGTATATATATAAGCCACATTTTTACGTATTTTCAGTTGGATTTTTGAGCGAATAAACAAAGCAGAAAAGGAGATATTTTTCTCCCCAAATTCATCTTCAATTCAACACTTGGGGCAACTTTTCAAGATTTGTATAAATCTGAAATACATTCATACTTAGACATATATATTATAATTGTTTTAGGAGGCCATTCCCCCCAAACCAACCCCCACGTGGCTCCGTCCTTACAGGAGCACAAAGTTATACGTGTGGTTTTACTGAAATTATATTACATCTAATTGGGAGGTTTCTCTCTCTCTTTTTTTTTTTTTTTTTTTTTTTTTTTTTTTTTTTTTTTTTTTTTTTTGTCATGGTTTTTTGGTGGTTCCTGATTCGAAGTTCCTCACTGTATAACTTAATATGTAATGGAGTTTCTTACCCCTTCAATTTTTAGCAAGTTGCATTATGATAGTTTTTCTTATAATGCATCATCTGAATGACGTAACTCTTGAGAATGTTCTTTTATATGTTGTATGGGTCTGAAATATGTTTCCATTTCTAGGCAAATCGCAGGATTACCTGTCTAGAGCTGCCTCTAATACAGCATACTAAGTTATCTGATGTAGACAAGCTTTCTTCTCTATTGAGCAGTAAGTTCCTGATGATTCTATCAGTTGGCTTATTTCATGATTTATGTGATGGCTGAGTCCATGTTTATGTATCTATGGAGGTCTCATATATGCGTATTAGTTCCCTAACTTACCGAGTCTATGGTAAATCACTTGTATCGTGTTGGTCCTGCGATACTTTTTGTAATGCATCCGTCATGCCATTTTATGTTCAAACTAAAAAATGATTAAAAAATTTGGATGTATTGCTCTTCATACTTCGAGCTGCTCTAAGTTCCATTAAAACTTAAAAGGTCGAAAAAATAGTTTTCTAAGATTAGTTAAGGATAAATGTGTATGGCTAATGAAACTTGTGAAAATTCAAAGAGTATCACCAATCTCTAGTCTCAGGACCAATTCATATGGATATCATATTCTCATCTTTTACATTATAAATACCTCTGAAGAAGCTACAACACTGAAACCTTTTATACTTGTTATTTTATTGTGTGTGTGTGTGTGCATGCATGAGCACATGCATGTTTGAATATATCCATTCATGTTGTTAAAATTTGATGATCCCTAATGGAAATGCTAATTCATTTGCGTCTTTGATGTCTGGCTATCCTTGTGTTGCAGGCAGTTCATTTGACTGGATCATCATAACTTCACCTGAAGCTGGCTTGGTTTTTCTTGATGCTTGGAAGTAAGAGCGGCTTCTGAAATACTTCTTCTTTAATTAAGTTATTTCCATGCTGGTGACTAAATTTATTAATGTGTTTTGAATTGCCAAAAAAATACATTAAAATGTGTGGAAAAATGTGCAGAAACTGGAATTCATGAGAGTGTTTTCATACATTCCCATCACTATCTATGTAGGAAAAGGATATTAACAAGCTAAATTAATTTGATCCAAGCTTAAAACTAGGATCTATAAGGTGTCTTCGTCTACCTTTCAGGTTACAACTAGTTATTAGATTTATTTCATCGAACAGGTTTGACCAGTAATCTTGCCTTCAGTTCAGTGGAGAACTTTTTAGTTGACAATGTATCACTCTACAAAGGCCCACTTTTCATATTGGTAGAAGTTTTGTTTTTTATAATATCTATCTTGTAGCCTTAGGTCTGTATGAGTCTTATTCATTTCTCTATTATTGCCAGCATGGGTCTTGCACTCGCAAGCTATCTTCCATAACACCACTAGCAAAATTTGCTAATTTTTCTAGTTGGTTTGGGGAAAATCTATCTAATTGCGCTATGTGAATTGCACTTTGTGTAGATCCTGCTGTTAGTCTTGTAATATGATTGTTTTAACCTTATAAAATCATAAAATCCTGAGGCGCTTCTTCCTTGGAAGAACTGTACGCCATGCACCTTTTAGTTAGAGAAGATATCTAACCATGACATCTTCGGACCATTTCAGCTCAAACTGATTTACAGTTGTCTCTTTTAAAGAAATTTTCTAACTGCTACTTATATAAATGAATTAAGATGATAGTTCAGACACAAAAGCTTTTGGTCCACAGAGCTGCAGGTACACCAAAAGTTACTGTTGGAGTTGTTGGAGCTGGTACCGCATGTGTTTTTGAAAAAATTCAGCCGTCTCTGAGACAAAGCCTGAACGTGGCTTTTGCGCCATCAAAAGGTGTTTAAAGCTAGTTCCAGACTTTTACATCATGAATAACAACAGAGTTGAGATGTCCTGGTTGGAAAAGAAAGAAAAGCAAGTAACTTGAATTTGTGATCTCAGCTATTGGCAAGGTTTTGGCAGTTGAGCTACCGGATAACGGGAATCCAAGATGCACAGTTTTGTACCCTGCTTCAGCAAAAGCTAGCAATGAGATTGGTAAGCTCTGAACTTATACGTTACATGCATTTCATCCCAAAATTTGCTGCTTTGCATATTTGAGAGTTGAACATAACCTCATGCTAACCTTGCTATTCTTATCTACATTGATTGATGTTCTCAGTTAATTTAAATTCAGATCTGGACATATAATGTAATTTAGAATTATGTTTAGCATGTACATATTCGTCACTTACTCATACATTGGTTGATTTTTTCTGTTGGAAGTTTACTGACTTTATTCTTCTCATCCTTCGATTGTGACTTTCCCATTATGTTACTTTACTCATCAGTTTCAAATGTGATTTTTGCTAATATATTTTTTATAATTAAATGAGTTTCAGAAGCGACTATCTAGTTAGGAAGCTAGAGTTTGTTGTAAATCTCTGGTTCGCCTTTTAAGTTTTAAGTTAGTTTGAAGATTAGGTATAACTCATGAGTAGATGCTAGAGTTTTATATGTGGCAAAAATACCTTAATTTTTAGTTTATTTATCCAAGCCCACTTTAATAGTAAATAAGAAAACTAAAAAAAAAATGAAATTAATCGTACTTACAATTCTACACATCTCATTTCCAATATTCAAAAGAAATGCCCCACATGGCCACAAGTCCAGAACTGAGTAATGTCAATCACAAATGCTAAAAAAAAGAAAAAACATGACGACATGATTAGTCTATTACAATATTTCTTGAACAAATTAAAGCAAACAAACTACTCAGAACAAATAACTATGAAATGCTGTGAGGTAAAAAAAATCTTCTTCATTATTCTCCAATACATGCTTTTCATCCGACTCAAAGTCAGTATCATTCTCATTAAGTTGTTTCTGTTCCTTGGATTCAAATTCTCTTCTTCAAGCTCACACTCTAGAACTACCATTATAACTTCAATAGAACTTTCAGTTCAGTTTTCGGAACTGTTTGGAATTCTCCGAGTCCCATGCTCAGCCCTAGTTCCAACACATATTATCCGATTCTTGTTTGCATCAGATGCAATTTACAAAGCCTGAAGCACAGATATGGAATAACTAACAACTGAAATAAGCAAGACAATTGTCGACAAAAAAAGAAAATAGCAGAAGCGTCAGACTAACAAATAAGCAAATTATTATTATTATTATTATTATTATTATTGATTCCATTGCAAATGGAGCTGGAAGAGTCAATGTTGACAATTCTTCTGACATCGTGCAAATAATGGACTAGATCAAAATGGCTCAATTAAATTCTAGTGCTTCTTCTATTAGTGAAGTTTCTAGAAAAAATATATCAAACGACGCAACGCACCTTGGCCGCTATGGAAACAGCCTCCTTGTAATTTACAAGGGTAAGGTTTGCGTACAACTGACCCCCCAGACCCCAACCTGTTTGGGAATATACTGGGTATGTTGATGTTGATTATTATTATTATTATTATTATTATTATTATTATTATTATTATTATTATTATTATTATTATTATTATTGTTATTATTATTATTAATGTTGTTGTTGTTGTTGTTGTTGTTGTTCTAGGTTTATAAGTAATTCCGTAAATGTAAGTCATCACTTTATGTTCTTCAATCATTCAAGTCCCAAACCATAAACTCCAATAAATTTAAATTTATATTGTTTATTAACAGTGTTATCAAATGGCGGCCATGGCGGCGCCATGGCGGTATGGCGTGGCGGATTTTTAACAATCCGCTATGCAAAATTTGTGAATGATGGCGTTCATGGCGGTGCCATAGACCGCCACGGCGGCCGCCATGGCGGCCGCAATCGCGGAATTTTGGCAAAACGCTATGTACCGCCATCCGCCATTAATAACACTGTTTATTAAAGAAAAAACATAAAATAAAAGCCTAATAGAGTATATAATTATAATTTTAATAGTCGTTGATAAAGAAAAACTCTGAAATACCTAAGTTGGGTGCTTGAGGCTGATAAAGCAGACGGCGGTAGACACGGTCTTTAGTGTAATCAATGGCGGATGATGGTTTGCCAAACGGCGGCCTATGGCGTCGCCATGACCGCCATCCTTCACAAATTTTGCATGGCTGATTGTCAAAAATCCGCCACTCTATGCTGCCATGGCCGCCATTTGATAACACTGACTGTCTTACAGCGGAAGGAAAGGTGAGGTGATCAAGATCGATGAGAGGCTGTTTAATTTCTCCCTCAGTTGTCTTTAGTCTTTTCTGTCCTGACCAGTCTTGATGATGGCTGTTTTTTCTTCATTTCTTTGTTTTAAATTTTAAATGAAATATTCTAAAAACTTAATAGTGGTAGGCATCGCATTCAGCTTCCAGCCGCTGAGGGGCGCTTAATAATCGCTGGGGAGAATTTTTTGGCTGACCAGCATAAATAATAGGTGTTCTTGTTGAGCCTATGCAGCCACCTAGGGTGACTTTTAGTACATTGCTAATTGCTAATATTTGGCAGTGGCTATAAACTTGTACTTCTTGCACAATAATGTTAACTGTTGCTTTTTCTACTGTAGAGGAAGGCCTTACGAAGCGTGGATTTGAGGTTACTAGACTGAACACATATACCACGGTATGACGCTTCTCTTGGATTGTAACATGCCATATGGTTGTATAGTTGAACATTGTTGGTGGCCACAACTCTATCAGCACACTTAAGATTGGTAGGATATACAGTATCTAAGGCACAGGAATACGGTTTGTCATGTTTCCGTTATTAAGAAAAAAGTGGTGCGTGCAACCCATTTATGTTTGTTATTTTAGAGACCTTGAGTTTGTGCATCACAAACTATAATAAGATAGCGTACTGAATTTTATTATAAGCTTATCTTAGTTTGTTATCTGTGAGCCCTGTACATTAATCCGACGCATTCATTCATCTGAGACCATAAGAGTGACGCGTAGTTTGAAATTCAATTGGGTCTATGTTTCATGTAATGTGATTTAGAGATTTTTTTTTTCTTTAAAAAAAGAAAGAAGCTTCAGAAAAGGGAGAAATGTGGTCTGGAGGTCCCTGTGTATGCCTATGGTCGTTTCAACCTGCTATGACCATCCAAGTGGTTTATTTGTTAGGCTTAAAAGGAAGCCATTGGTAATATGAACCTGTTGGCAGAATATTCTATTATCATTTTAAAGGGGTTGGTTGATTACAAGCATCAGTAAACATGGGATTGTGCATTTACCAGTTCAAAAGTTGAAATGTGAGATCTCTAGTGGAGTATGTGGACGCGTAATATATGTTTGTTTATGGCATCGTTTGGTGAACATGCATTCAGGTCTTCGACAACTAAATAATGGTTCCACTTTATTTAGTTGTTGAACCAGAAGTTTGTTTGAGTGTTTTTTTTCCTCCTACACAGGAACTTGTCAGCCATGTGGATGAAATTGTTTTAGAACAAGCACTTTTAGCTCCTGTTATCGCTGTAGCATCTCCTTCTGCGATTCGGTAAAACTGTTAACTTGTTATAGTTATGTGTGCTCGTCTTTTTTACGAAACAATTTGCTGAATCTTCTTGTGCATTACTTTAAATATTATAATTGCTTATAGCTTTAAGTTACCCTCAACATTAGGAACCGTGTTCTGTTTCTTTTTCTTGTTTTATCAGTCAGCTGCCTTTTACTTGTTCATGTTGGGGATGCCTCGGGTAGGCATTAACTCAACTTAAAGGTTGGCGGTTTTTTTTAATATATATATTATTAATTTTGTCTGCCCTCTTTGTTTTTGTTTCCTGCTTGTATCAGTGCATGGGTGACCTTAATACCAGAACCACAACGGTGGGATAATGCTGTTGCATGTATAGGGGAGACAACTGCGTTAGCAGCTAAAAAACTGGGATTAAGGAATGTGTATTTTCCAGAAAATCCAGGCATTGAAGGGTATATGTCTTTTCTCTTGAAGAGCAATGTCTTCTAAACTCTCTCAAATCGTATGTGTGCTTCAATAAGCATTTCCCCAATTGAAGTCTCTTTCTATCTACTTTTATTTTCCCATGGTCAAAGTACCTTCAAATTAAAAACAATTCATGGGTTTATTCCATGGGGGCATTTTATTTATCATATTTCTCCTATGATGAGAAATGCCTGGAGTCGGGAAGAACATGTTTTATTTGTCCACATTACTTGTAAATCATCATATCATATACATATTATATATCTCCTTCATACTATGATAAATTATTATCTTCACTAAATACATATACAATAAATTTACAAAATACATCTTATCATATTTTTGGGATGAAACATGCTTCATTGACTGCTTAGCTTCCTATCCTTCCGATTGACCAGACTATGTTCCTTCTGTAAATTTTCTCTAATACATTTCGATAATATCAAATGAAGCTGCATTATTCTCTTATAACGAATTCATCTGTGCTTATGCATAGTGATATCTATATGTCAGATGAATCAAATCGTATTTCACATTTTCTCCCCCTTTCTCTTCCATTTCTTTCTATCAGGTGGGTTAATAGCATATTGGAAGCCTTACAAGTCCAAAACCAATTACAGAAGGTTTGAAGGTTGAACGTTACACAAACCCGCGTTTGATCTGTGAATGAAACTCTGGAATGACCTTGCTTGTTC